GCTGTTAGAATTAGCGATGCATAAATGAATACATATAATAAAATAGCCCAGAAATAAATCCTTGCTTATATGGTCAATTAGTCTACAACAAAGGAGGCAAGGATGTACAACGGGGAAAAGAAAGTCTCTTCAATAACTGGTGTTGGCAAAACTGGACAGATACAGTCAAGAAAATTAAATTGGAGCCTGGCCGGTGTAGCTCAGTAGTTGAGCGTCTACTCATGCACCAAGAGGTTGCTGGTTCGATTCCTTGTCAGGGCACATTCCCAGGTTGTGGGCCAAATCCCCAATGGGGGGCATGCAGGAGGCAGCCAATCGATGTTCTTTCTCATTGATGTTTCTACCTCTCTCTCTCTCCCCCTCTCCCTTCTTCTCTCTCTGAAATCAATAAGAAAAATATTTTAAAAAACACATATCATCGGTGAGAATTAAATAAATTAATTAAAAAATTAAATTAAATTGGATTATTTTTTATTTTTCTATCCTTACCCAAGGACATTTTTGCATTTATCTTCAGATAGAGCAGGAGAGAGGGAGGAAGAGAGAAAGAGAAACATTGTGACAAAGACACATCAAGTGGTTGCTACCCACATGACCCCAACCGGGGCCAGAGACAAACTGCAACTGAAGTATGTGCCCTTAGCAGGAACTGAACCCAGGACTCTCTGGTCGGTGGGCTGACACCCTAACCGCTAAGCCAAACTGGCCAGGGCTTATTTTTTTATTTTAAAAACTTTATTTTGTTTCTTTCTTTATTTTTAGAGAGAGAGGAAGGGGGATAGAGGAGAGACTGAAACATTGATGAGAGAACATCGATTGGCCACCTCCTGCATGCCCCCCACTGGGGATCAGGCCCACAAGTTGGGCATGTGCCCTGACCGGGAATCAAACCAGCAACCTCTTGGTACATGGGTTGATGCTCAACCACTGAACCACACTGGCCGCACTGGACCACTTTCTTACATTCTGTACAAAAATAAACTCAAAATGGATTAAAGACTTCACTTCAATGTTAGACCTCAAACTATAAAACCTCTAGAAGAAAACAGACAGTAAACTCTGACAGTGCTCTTAGCAATATCTTTTTGGATATATTTTGTGGAGCAAGGAAACGAAGAAAAAATAAACAAATGATACTTCATCAAACTAAAAGTGTTTTTAACACAGTTAAGAAAACCATCAACAACAAAACAAACAGAGAACCCACTGCATGGGAGAAAATATTCACAAATGACACATTGTATAGGGGTTAATATCCAAAATATATAAAGAACTCATATAATTTAACACCAAAACACAAACAATTCAATTTAAAAATGGGAAGAGGACCTGTATAGACATTTCCCCCATGAGGAAATACAGATTGGCAACAGATATATGAAGAGATGCTCAATATTACTAATCAACGGAGAAATGCAAATTAAAACTCACACCTGTCAGAATGGCTATCATCAGTAAATCAACAAATAACAAACGTTGGCAAGGATGTGGAGAAAAGGGAACCATTGTACACTGTAGGTGGGATTATAAATTGGTGTAGCCACTATGAATAACAGTATGGAGATTCCTCAAAAAATTAAAAACAGAACTAATTTATGACCCAGCAATTCTACTTCTGGGTATTTATCCAAAGAAAAACACTAAGTTGAAAAGATATATTCATCCCTCTGTCCACTGTGGCACTACAAGTAATTGCCAAAATATGAAATCAATCTAGATGCCCAAGAATAGATGATTGGATAAAGAAGACACACACACACACACAGGAATATTTTTCAGCCATAAAAAAGAATTAGATCTTCCCATTTGTGACAACATGGATGGAGAGCTAGAAGGTATTATGCTAAATGAAAAAAGACAGAGAAAGACAAATACTGTATGATCTCACAAGTGGAATCTAAAAAAGCACACAAAAAATGAATAAACAAACATAAACAGCTCCACAGATATAGAGAACAGGCTGATGTTTGCCAAAGGGAGTAGGGGGGGAGGGGACAGGAATAAAAAAAATAAAGGCTCACCTATGTGGCTATGGTGGCATCAAATTAATAATATATGTTAACTGACAAATATTTGTTGATCACCTACTACATACTAGGGGCTATTTTAGGCATGCAGATAAGCTATAAATAAAGACAATGTTCCCATTCTTAGGAGCTTCTAGTCAAAAGACATTTTGAGACAACAGAGGAAAACCAAACAGACTGCTTATTAGATATTAAGGAATTGTTAATTTTGTTTGGTGAAATATAATGGTTAGGGTTTGTCTTATTTTTTTCCCTTTATTGATTTTAGAGAGAGAGGAAGTGAGAGGGAGAAGGAGATAGAAACATCGATGAGAGAGAACATCAACTGGCTGCCTCCTGCATGCCCCCCACTGGAGATCAGGCCCATAACCTGGGAATGTGTCCTGACCTGTAATTGAACTGGCAACCTCTTGGTGCATGGGTCGACGCTCAACCGAGCCACACCGGCTGGATAGTTAGGGTTTGTTTTAAAATGTTCCAAGATGCCTGGCCAGTGTGGCTTACTGGTTGAGTGTTGACCCATGCACAGAGGTTGCCAATTTGATTCCAATTCAGGATACATGACCAGGTTGTGGGCCCAATCCCCAATAGGGGGCATGCAGGAGGCAGGGAATTGATGTTCTCTCTCATAGATGTTTCTCTCTCTCTCTAAAATCCATAAAGAAAAAAAAAATGCTCCAAGAAAAAAAATTGAAGGGGAGGTGGGGAATAGAGCAGGTAACAGCATAAAGCTGATGTCTGGGTGATGGGTACATGTGGGTCCACTGTGCTACTCTATTTTTGTGTCTATTTAAAAATTTCTAGTCTGGCCCTGGCCAGTTTGGCTCAGCAGTTAAGAGCATCGGCCTGAGGTCCAGAGAAACCTGGGTTCGGTTCCCACTAAGGGCACGTATCTCCGTTGCAGTTTATTCCTGGCCCTGGTTGGGTTGTACGGGTGGCAACCACTCGATTTGTCCCTTTCACGTCGATGTTTCTCTCTCTCTCCCCCCCTCACACTCTATCTGAACAAAAAATGGAAAAATGTCCTCGGGTAAAGATAACAAAATAAATAAAAATTTCTAGTCTGGTCAGTGTGGCTCAGCAGTTGAGCATCAACTCATGCACCAAGAGGTTGCCAGTTTGATTCCTGGTTGTGGGCCTGACCAGTTGGGGGCATACGGGAGGCAGCCAATCAATGTTCTCTCTCCATGTTTCTATCTCTCCCTCTCACTTCCTCTAAAATCAATAAAGGAAAAAGAAAATTAAAAAAAAATTTCTACAATGTTATTTTTTAAAGTATTTAAATATTAGAAGTAGTTATCAGTAAAAACACATGGTCTAATTAAACATAAGAAATTTTAGAACCTACCAATATTGCGGAGATGTGATTTTAAGACACAGGTAAGATTCTAAACTTAGGTTTTAAGAGATTAAAGTAAAATTAAAATGTAGGAATTTGATGTCTACCTGCCACTTTTATCTCTTGAGAAAACAGGCAGAGCCCACCTTTCATCTCTAGCTTTCCGGACTTTTCCAGTCTCTGTTCTGAAGTCTAAATTTAGTTTTTTTTATATTTATATTTTTTAATGTGCAAATTTGACAAACTTACCATAAAACTTAGGAATAAAAAGACATCATCCCCTTACATTCTCCTATAAATCTTTATTCTCTGAAACAGAATCTCATGGAGAGAGATGCACAATTGTCTGTGGATAAAAGTTCCCGCCAGCTGAGGTGTCCTAACTGCTGTTGTAATGTGGGGTTTGGGGTCAAGCAAAGGATCTCTCTGATTAAAGCAACATATAGGAGAGCCTGGCCTTCAGGTAGCCTCAGGCACCCAAACAAAGTCACTAGAGTTTGATTCTCTTGGCTGTTTCCCTCTTTGTTGCCTTCATTCTTGAGCTAGTTGCTCTATGTGGTCGGTAAAGTTCCAAGGTTATGTGGCCCTGACAGCTCCTGCTATAAGAGGGAGAGAATCTTTCCTGATAGCTCTGGCAATAGCTCAAGGGCTGTCCATGGCTAGCTCACATTCATGGAGCCAGGAATAAGGTTTGCTTCAACCAAGTCTCATGGTTGCACTGAGTTTCCTACTGAGCAGGAAAGAGTGGCTCTCTGAAGGAAGAAAGGCTGGGTATGCGGAATATACGTCCACTATGCTAGGCAAAACTCTAGAACTTGCAGAGATTCAACCATCATCTCAGCCCAATAAATTAGCTGAATTAATGTAGGAACGCACAAAACAGAGAGCATCACTTTTATTTTATTTTAAATGTTTTATTTTTATTTTTTTAATCCTCACCCGAGGATATTTTTCCATTTATCTTTAGATACAGTAGGAGGGAGAAAAGGAGGAAGAGGGAGGGAGGGAGGGAGGAAGAGAGAGAGAAACATCGATATGAGAGTCACATTGATTAGTTGCCATCTGCATGGCCCCAGGGCCAGAATTGAACCAAGGACCCTTTGGTCCGCGGGCCGACGCAGAGCATCACTTTAAAGTATCATAGTATTTCAAATTCTTATTCCATATTTTTGAGAAGCAATAAAACACAAGTTAGGACAGACACCAAGGCCATTAGTGAGATGCCATTTTAGCAGACAACTACTTCAAGTATAGATTGTTTCATGTTCTGGAATTTTATCCCTCTTATACAGAAGAGATATGTTGCTCTAGTAGATGGCAGACTTTCTGTTCTCATTTAGCCACAGGAAAAGCTAAGGCGTGTCCAGCACAAAGGAAGAAGGTGGTCCAGCCCTGGCCGGTTTGCTCAGCAGTTAGAGCATTGGCCTGCAGACCGGGAAGTCCCAGGTTTGATTCCCGCGAAGGGCATGTACCTCGGTTGCAGTTTGTCCCCAGCCCTGGTTGGGGTTGTGTGGGTGGCAACCAACTGATATGTCTCTCATGTCGATGTTTTCCTCTCTCTCTTCTTCCCTCTCTCCCTCCTGCTCTAACTGAAGATAAATGCAAAAATATCCTTGGATAAGGATAAAAAAAAAAAGAAGGTGGTCTAGCATGAAGGGCTGGAAAATACTTTGCTACCAGGGAGCTCTTTGCAGACTTGCTTTTTTCATTTAAACTGGTGATAATCCGGAGGGTTTCTGATCCAGGATCCAAATGCCTGCTTCCGAAGTGTGCTCCAGGCTTCCTGGTAAGCAGATGCAGCCTCCTTGTACTCCTGGTACGTCTCTAGCTTCCGCACCCTAATGCACACACACCACCAAGCACATAGGTTCTCATTGAACAGCTCACCACCACGGCCAAAAAGACACCTGAGTAATCAACTGGACAGATTTATTTTGAGACTTAGGAACAGGATAATCTTGGTATGCATTCCTAGAGAGACTCTGTCCCCTTTGTAGAGAATCCACTACAAAGTAACATGGATTAAGACAGGCAAGAATGAGCCTTTGCTGGTGTAGCTCAGTTGGTTGGAGCACTGTCCCGTACACCGAAAGATGGCGAGTCTGATTCCCACTCAGGGCACATACCCAGGTTTCGGGTTCACTCCCTGGCCCCAGTCAGAGTGTACATGGGAGGCATCGGATTAATATTTCTCTCTCTCTCTGGTCCTGGTAAAATCAGATAAAACAAGAATAACTATTTTTTTCTGGTTTAAAGTTTCCTAAGTGTCTCTAATTTCTACCAGAGGATAGAGCCATTAGAAACTTTTTTTTTTTAAATCCTCGCCCAAGGATATTTTTCCATTTATCTTCAGACAGAGTAGGAAAAGGAGAGAGAAAGAGAAACATTGATGTGAGAGAGACACATTCATTGGCTGCCTCCTGCACGACTCCGACCAGGCCGGGGACAAACCGCAACCGAGGTTGACTGGAATTGAACCCACGACTCTCTGGTCTGTGGGCCGACACTCTAACTGCTGAGCCAAACCAGCCAGGGCCAGCCATTAGAAACGTCTTGGCTGCATTTTTCCTAACAAAGCAAAGCACTTTCCATTCCATCCATACTCTCCTATGCCAGCCCACACCCCTGCAATCCCATAGTTGTCTCTGACTGCTATGTTGCCCTGGCCGGTCTGGCTCAGCAGTTAGAGCGTCGGCCTGTGGACCAGAGACTCCTGGGTTTGGTTCCTGCTAAGGGCATGTACCTTGGTTGCAGTTTGTCCCTGGCCCCAGTTGGGGTTGTGTGTGGGTGGCAACCAGTCGATGTGTCTCTCTCACACTGATGTTTCTCTCTCTCTTTCTTTCTCTTCCTCCCTCTCTCCCTCCTGCTCTATCTGGAGATGAATGCAAAAAAATAAAAATAAAAAAAGGCTATGTTGAATAATATCTGTAATACTTATACCCAGTTAAAGATTTTCTTGTGACTAAAACACTTCTCGATAGTAAGACTGTGGGGTGGGTGAAAGGTTGCTTTTATCTTCGTTGTTAATTTGAGGAGGAATCGTGTAAAAAAACCCCCACTTTTCTCCTCTGACCTGAGCCAGGCTCCTCCAAGCCTGCTTCTTGGCTTGGACCTTGAGCTCTGTCCTTGCATCTTATATAGTTGAAGAAATTGACACTCATGTCTTATTGATCCAATTTTATCCTGCTTTTAAGTTGTATCTTAGCTCACTTTAGCAGAGCAAAGTTGCTAATTGCAGCAAAAATTGATTTCAGTTGTTTGATCAATTTCCTACAGCTTTTTGTTTGTTAATGGGTGGGATCTTCACACATGACAATGTTAAACTTCACCTGAGCCCTGAGTTCCTAAAAACCACTATGGTTAATAAATCTCCCTTCCACCCTTCTGTGTTCTGGGAAATGGCTGACCACAAAGAACTACCCTTCCCCATGACTTAGAGAGGACTCATGGATGCCCCCCTGGTATACCTACAACAAGGCCAGGCACAGACCCTCCAAATTCCCATTCTTTATCTCATAATGATGAACTGAACCCACTGACCAATCTTGACAAAATACCTGCGAATTTGACCAAATATTAATTACACTTCTCTTCTTCCCCAGGCCCCAGAACTTGGATCCACCCTCAACCTGAGCCAGCGTCAGAATGTGTAACAACCCCTCCTGAGAACTGACAGGAAGAGAAGACACTTCCTGTTCAACTGTGCCATCGCACCCTACTCACCCCACTCCCCCATTCCAGGTTCTGTTCAGCCTTGTATACTGCTCCACATAAAAGAAAATCCCTTTCCATCTGCCCTTGGAGAGGCTTACAAACCTTATCACTGGAATGTTCTTGCTATTGCATTAGTCCTCCTCCTATTGTAATAGACTCTCTCTTACGGTGATAAACCTTTTGAGTAAAGTCTCTCCTTACCTAAGTCCAGATTTGTTTTTAATGTACAGAAAGTACAGAACCACACCCAGTTCATTTGATTCACTTTTCTAGACAAGAAACAAGCACACTGACCAATGATGACTGGAGGGCATCAATGCTGACCACAGTATGGATGATGGTGATAACAGTGGCTAGCCTCTTTATATAGAAGTTTCTGGCTACCCCTTCACTTCCCTACGTTATATAACAAAGATTTTGGCTGGTTTTTGTTGCCAGTTCCTGGGAGGGAGCCTCTAAACCCTTAGAATTTCCCATGTGATAGGACTGTTTTTATTATTCATGGCGGATCCCTCAGATCACACCTAAGTTTATGTTTAATGAGGTGACTCATGGTGGGCCCTAGAGAGTTTCAGGATGGGACTGGCCAGTCAGAAAGACCAACCATGAGATTAGAGAGCTGGGGCACCGAGCCATTTGATATCACTGTAACTCCGAGGGTGGAGGAGATGAAAACTGAATTCAGCCACATCATGTGAACTATGATTCAATCAATCATTGTTATTAATAAAATCCCAATAAAGACTCTGGATTCGGAAGCGCAGGTCAGCTTCCTGGTTGGTGCTGAAAGGGTGATGCATACTGAGGACATGGAAACATCGAGTTTGGGATTCTCCAGACCTCACCTTATGTGCCCCCTTCTTTTAGCTGGTTCTAACTTGTATCTTTTACAGTAAAAGGTAATTGTAACTACAGTGCTTTCCTGAATTCTGTCAGTTGTTCTAGTGAATTATTGAACCTGAATAGGTAGTGGGAACCCCCGAGTTTGTAGTCAGTTGACCAGAAGTGTGAGTGGCTTGGGGTCCCCAAACTTGTGGCTTGCACCTTAAGTGGAGGCAGTGTATGAGGACTGTGCCCTTATCCTGTGAAGTTTCATCTACCTCTGGGTAGTTATTATCTGAACTGTACCCACCCACCTTCAGTGGTTTTATAGTTCTCTACATTCCTGTTTGGAGAGTGCTTTCAATCATGGAGCTGCAGCTTACATCCAATGACATAACAAAGAACAGGAGGAGAGAGTGATGCTCCTAACACTGCATTACTCTCCAAGAACTCACATTCCCACAGTACTCTCCATCTGAAGGTAGAATGAAAGGAGGGCTTGCAATGGGCCCAGACCCAATTCCACCCTTGGTCTCTTGTGACTATACCACCAAACTACCCATCCTCCATACTTCAGATCATACACCTATCTACAAGCAGGGCCATGGGGGTGGAGAGGCATGTGGTCAGTAGTAAGTGCCCAGTGGCCTACTGAAACCCCACTCCTGCTAAAGCTTCCTGCTACTCATAAGCCAGAATTTAAGCAGAAATCTTCCTAAATATGGAAAAACACCAGTCAGTAGTGTCACCTGAGAGAGTCTGGCCACTTGTCCTCTGAAATATCGCTTAGCAGCTTCTGGAATGATCTAAAGAATTCCACTTTGCTGATTCGAGATCTGTTTGAAAAAAGACAAGATGATTTATGAAGCGTTTGCTATGTACCAGCTCCCTATCAAAGACGTGAGGCTTCATATGGCATTTAGGTTTGAATGTGCCAGAGCCCCCATTTCCACCTGTACTTGGCAAGGAGAGAATCTAGACCTGAGGGTCCAATTAGGTCAAGACACAAAAATGAATCTCATCTTAAGAAATGTCATTAGCCCTGGCCGTTTTTGCTCAGTGGTTAGAGCTTCGGCCTGCGAACCAGAGTCTCAGGTTTGGTTCCTGCTAAAGGTATGTACCGTGGTTGCAGTTTGTCCCCGCCCTGGTTGGGGTCACGTGGGTGGCAACTAGTCGATGTGTCTCTCTCACATCGATGTTTCTCTCTCTCTCTCCTCCCGCCCCTCCCTCCCACTCTATTTAAAGATAAATTGAAAAAAAAAAAAAGAAATGTCATCAGCAGTGAAATCATCAAGATGACAGGTTTAAATGGGTTAAAGGCAGAGGTGAAATTGCTAAATTTTCCCCAGGATACCTATCAGCCATGATGGCTACCTCCTTTCAAAGGAGCTGGGCCCTTGGGTAATACTGTTTACAAGAAAGTGAAAGCTCTGTTTCAGAAGCTTGAGTGCTGCTCCTTGTATGAAGTCCATTTGGATGAGCCATCTGAGACAGAATCTCCAGACTCTCCCTTTAGGCATTATGGGCCTTTGGAGGCCAACCCTTTGCTTCTAACATCACGCTTCATGGAGGTCGCACTTTGGAACAGTGAAGGAAGTGTGTAGAAGGAGTGGATTCCTTACCAGCCCTCCTGGGCCTTCTGTTTTGGCCCATCCATGTTGGTATGACCTATATTATATATGCCTCTTTCCTTTCCCTCATATACACAATTCGTGAGCTATCTAGAAGTTGGGAACTGTTGTGTGTGCCCACAATGTTTATAGTCTCATGTTTACACACCATACCCTTCCCTGTCCTCACAAACTGTACCATCAGCTTGGACACAGTTGCCATATTGGTACATATGACATAGGGGATTGTACAATTTGTCAAGAAACACCCTTACCTGGCTGAGACCTAGCCTACTGAAAAAAAATCACTGCTTAAAGCAGAACCTTGCCTGGCCGGTGTCGCTAGTAGATTGAGCATCGTCCCATGGACCGAAAGGTCCCAGTTCAATTCCTGGTTAAGGCACATGCCTGGGTTTCAGGCTCAATCCCCAGTGGGGGCATGCAGGAGGCAGCCGACTGATGTTTCTCTCTCACACTGATGTTTCTATCACTCTCTCCCTTCTTCTCTCTCTAAAAAAATCAATAAAAACATGTATTAAAAAACAAAAAAGCAGCCCTGGCCGGTTTGGCTCAGCAGTTAGAGCATCGGCTAACCACGGACCAGAGAGTCCTGGGTTTAGTTCCCGTTAAGGGCACATATCTCGATTACAGTTTGTCCCTGGCCCCGGTTGGGGTCATGTGGGTGGCAGCCACTCAATATGTCTCTCTCACATCGATGTTTCTCTCTCTCTCTTCCTCCCTCTTTCCCTCCCACTTTAGCTGAAGATAAATGCAAAAATGTCCTTGGGTGAGGATAAAAAAAAAGCAGAACCTTGAGCCCTCACAGGCTGCTCTCCCTAAGCCTTTATTGTGGTAAGTGGCTGTTGGCACTTAGGAATATAAAGCTGCTTTAACATTAAAAAAAACTCCAAAGCCACCCTGGCTAGTTTAACTTAGCGATTAGAACAATGGCCCCTGGACCAAAGGGTTGCAGGTTCAATCCCTGGCACTGGGAGGCAACCAATCAATGTGTCTCTTTCACATCAATGTTTCTCTCCCTCCCTCCCTTCCACTCTCTCTAAAAACCAATGGAAAAATATCCTTGGGTGAGGATTACCAACCAACCAACCAACCAAAAACCACTCCAAAACCAAAAAACTAATAGAATTAATCTCTTTAACAGATTAAAGGAGAAAAGTAATTTTATTATCAGGAAAATGTATGCAGAAAAAGCATTTATTAGAATTCAAGATCCATCAAAAGATTTAAAACCTCTTACAAATGAGGACTAAGAAAGGTATTTATTTATTTTTATCCTCACCCGAGGACATGTTTGCATTTATCTTCAGACAGAGAGGGAGGAAGAGAGATGAAACATAGATCTGAGACACACATCAAGTGGTTGCCACCCACATGACCCCTGGGGCTGGGGACAAAACTGCAACCAAATGTGCCCTTAGCAGGAACCGAACCCGGGATTCTCTGGTCTGCGGGCCAATGCTCTAACTGCTGAGCCAAACCAGCCAGGGCAAGAAAGGTATTTAAATTCATAGAAGGTATCTATAAAAACCCACAACAAACATATGTCCTTAAAATCAGGAATAAGACGAGGGTACTTTATTATTATTTTTTTGTTAATCATCACCTGAGGATATTCTTCCATTGATTTTTAGATAGAATGGAAGGGAGGAAGGGAGAGAGAGAAAGAGGAAAAAAAAACATGAATGTGAGAGAGACACATAAACTGGTTGCCTCCACATGACCCTGAACGGGGCTGGGGATTGAACTTGCAACCCAGGGACATGACCTTGACTGGAATAGAACCTATGACCCTTCGGTCTGCAGGCCAATGCTCCACCACTGATCAGGGCAAGGGTACTTTCTATCACTGCTTTTATCTAACATTACACAGACAGTTCTGTAATAGTAAGACCAGAAATAAAAGAAATAAGAATTGAAAAACAAAAACCAAAGCAACTATTTGCAGATGAGTGTGATATCGTCAGTTCTAGCCAGCACAGTTAAGTCAAGAAATGAAAAAAATGGAGGATTAGAAAGGAAATGCTACTTTCAAAAGATTATCTGTATTTTAAAAATTCCAGGCCCTGGCGGGTAGCTTAGTCAGTTAAAGCATCATCCCGATACGCCAAAGTTGTGGGTTTGAGCTCTAGTCAGGGTACATACAAGAAACAACCAATGAATGCATCAATAAATAGAACAACAAATTGATGCTTCTCTCTCCTTTCTAAGAATTAATATAAATAATTCCAAAAGAATTCCTAAATAAATTAATAGAATAATAAGTGTTAGTAAAGTTGCTGGATACAAACACTGATTGCAGCAGAGAGAAACAAAAAACTGGTTGCAACAACAATACCCAGAAAATGAAATAAAAAGAAATTACTTAAATTAGCATCTATAGCCTGGCTGGTATGGCTCAGTGGTTGAGCAATGACCCCACGCATCAAGAGGTTGCTGGTTCAATTCCCAGCCAGGGCACATGCCCAGGTTGCAGGCTTGATCCTCAGTAGGGGATGTGCAGGAGGAGGCTGATCGATGTATCTCTCATCAATGTTTCTATCTCCCTTTCCCTCTCCCTCCCTCTCTCAAAAAGTATTTAAAAAAAAAATAGCATCTATAGTAGCCAATCTCTAAGATGGTGGTTCTTGCCTCCTGGAATTCATGCCTCTGTGCAATCCCCTCCCACAACAAAGGGCTGACCTAAATAACCATTAGGAGGTTGCAGATGCAGTGTGACTTCTGAGGCGAGGTCATAGAAGACACCGTGGCTCCTGCCTTGCTTTCTTGAATCATTTGTTCTGGGGGATACCAGCCACTGTTTTGTCAAGTGGAACACACTGGAAGACTTAGGGAGAGATCCAGGTTGAGAGGAACTGAGGCCTCCTGCCGACAGCCAGCACTGACCTGTCAGCCACATGAGTGCGCCATTTTGGAACTGGATTCTCCAGCCACAGTCAAACCTTAGGATGACTGCAGCCCTGGCTGACATAATAGACTGCAATCTCATGAGTCCGTAGTCAGAATTATCCATTTAAGCCCCTTCCAAACTCCTGACTCACAGAAAGTATGAAATAATAAAGGCTGACTTATTTTAAACCAATAAGTTTTGAAGGGTAATTAACACAGCAAGAGATAACTACTATAACATTCAAGAAAAAACTTGATTACAAGATGTAAAAAATGTATATGAAAAAAATTAAACTTGACTAAAATATATATAAGGAGACCTAGGAAAGCTATACATATATAATTCTTCTATTTTATTTATTTAAAAAATGTTTTTATTGATTTTTTAGAGAGAGAGGAATGAAGAGAGAGCTAGAAACGTTGATGTGAGAGAGAAACATCAATTGGCTGCCTCCTGCAAGCCCCGCCCCCAACAGGGATCAGGCCTGAAACCTGGGCAGGTGTTCTGACTGGGAATCCAACCAGGACCTCTCAGTCCATGGAATGATGCTCAATCCACTAAGCCACACCAGCTCAGCTCCACTGATCTTTTAGAGAGTGAAAGGGAAGGAGGCAGAGAGGAAGGAAGAGAAAGAGAAATCAATGTGAGAGAGATATATTGATTGGTAGCCTCCTACACGGCCCCAGTCAGGGCCAGGGATCAAACCTGCAACCCAGGTATGTGCCCTTGACCAGAGTCAAACCTGAGACCCTATGGACCTCAGAGAGATGCTCTAACTGCTAAGCAAAACAGGCCAGGGCCATATGTAATTTTTTTAACGATTACACACTTATATTGATATTTTTAGTCTAGCACTATCCTTATTCTAACATACTTAGATATGTTTAAATCCATATAATGGTTCTCTAGGATGCTTGGTATCTGGACAGGGAGGGGAAGATAATTTTCCTCTTTAGGGCAAAGGAATTTGCCTGTAAGAGGCAAAGTGAAATTAAGCTTCTTTAAAATGAGGGTCCTTGCCCAGCCAGTGTGACTCAGTGGATTGAACACCATCCCATGGACTGGGAGGTCCTGGTTGAATTCCTGGTTAGGGCACGTGCCCAGGTTTCGGGCTTGATCCCCAAAGGGGGGCGTGCAGGAGGCAGCTGATCCACGTATCTCTCACATCGATGTCTCTCTCTCTTTCTCTCTCCCTCCCTCCCTTCTACTCTCTCTAAAAAAAAATAAAAAAATCAATGAAAAGAAATATCCCCAGCTGAGAATTAACAAAAAAGAAAAAAGAAGGTCCTCTTAACTCAAGTAGTAAAAAAAAAAACACACACACGAAGATTTCAATAAAATAGTGCCTTTAGTGTTACACTACTATATTAAGTGTCTCTAACATCCCAGTCTGAGTTCATATTCCCTACAGTTCCAAAGAAGTTGGTCCCTGGATGCCAGCACTCAGGAATGAGCAATGAGAAAATCTGCTTTCTACACAACAGCTGCTGGTCTTTAGAATAAAACTGATTCTTTCACAAAGACTATGAAGCTTTATTTAACAAATGAAGGGGAAATCAATCTTAACAAGATGTTCTCACAAATCCTGCACCATGTTAGAGGCACTCTCTCACAATCAATTCTCACAACATTGCTGTGCAATACATACTCTTAGTTACCCTTGCTTTATTGCTAGGGAAACGGAGGCTCAGAGAGGCAAGGAAATTTCCCCAAGTTCACACAACTAGGGAGAAAGGGAGCTACAAAGCACCTGCTCTTTCCATCATATACATCCTCCCTGTATGGGGTTTGCCTTCTAAATGGAGAGACACATTGTGCCAGGGACTTCAGATCATCTACTCCAACATCCTTGTTTTACAGATAAGAACACACGGAGGCCCAGAGATCAGCTGGACTTGTTCAAAGTTACCTGGATAACTGGAGACAGAGCAAAGGTGAGAACAGAAGGCACTCCCAATCACACACAACGCAATGACATAAGGGAGAAGCTGGAGAACAATACTATGGGAATTTAGAGAAAAGACGGTAATTCTGAGCCAGAAGGCAGTGGTGGTTGAGCTGAACTTGAAAGTAAAAGGTGTGGATTCACAGTGAAGAAAACCATTTTAGGTGTAAGCAAAATAGCAAACCTAAACCACAGTCAGGTGGGTGGGGGCAGTATGAATTGCTACTTAGCCTGTCACCAGAGCTCAGCAGGAAACATGTGGTTCAGGTCCTTTATGACCTGCTCTGCTCACAGATCCTTGGTCCCCTGAGAGGTGCTAACAATGGTGGTCTGAAGCCAGGAAGGCCCTTGGGGAAAACAATCTCTATTCACAACAGTTTTGTAAATATAACACAACTCAACAGGAGACAGGCCAAGTCTGCCATCTGGGCTGTTGGAAAGCCAGTTAATGACTACAAAGAAAAAACCTTTTACTTTTATTTATTTTTAAAATATTTTTTAAATTGATTTTTAGAGAGGTGGGAGAGAAAGAGAGAGAAACATCAATTAGCTGCCTCCTGCATGGCCCACACAGGAGATCGAGCCTGCAACCCAGGCATGTGTTCTGACCAGGAATGGAACAGGCAACCTTTTGGTGCACAGGATGATGCCCAACCAACTGAGCCACACTGGCCAGGGCCAACCCCTTTATTTTTAAAGTCTAATAAGATGTAAATTGTTGCCCTGGCCAGATTGGCTCAGCGGTTAGAGCGTCGGCCTGCGGTCCGGAGAGACCCGGGTTCGGTTCCCGCTAAGGGCACGTACTTCGGTTGCAGTTTGTCCCCGGCCCTGGTTGGTCGTGCGGGTGGCAGCCACTCGATGTGTCCCTTCACGTCGATGTTTCTCTCTCTCTCCCCCTTCCTCTCTCTCCCTCCCACTCTATCTGTACCAAAAAAATGGAAAAATATCCTCGGGTGAGGATAAAAAAAAAAAAAAAAAGATGTAAATTGTTGTTTGTGTTAAATCAGGCAAATAGGCATGTAAAAAATAAATAAATCCACCTGTGAAATTTAATTAAAACTCTATAAGGACAAAATACAAAATTGGAAAAAGACTATCTAAAATTGTGGGAGTCCTACAAGAGTAACTCAACACAGCTCAACCCAGACTGAGATGAAAATGCCTTTGGTTGAGAGGTCACTTCCCCCCAACACCTCCCAGCCTCAGGTTACTGCAGAGCACCTGCGGTTTAGTAGGAATGAAAAGCAGAAGATGAGATCACCTGAGCATTTAGCAAAGGAACCAGTAAGATAGATGTATGAACCTCCAAACACACAACGATGAAAACTGTCTCATGTCCAGCAGCTCAAAAGCTCTATAATTTAGCAAAAGCCAATATGAAGACATAAAGTCCAATTTCCATGGTGCCCTTTTTGCCAATCCAATCACTATGGAGCTTTATAAGTAATTTTTGGGTTCCAAGCTTGACCTACTAAGCCAGAATTCCTAGTGGAAAAGCCCAAGAAAGTGTTCTTTTCAAAATCTCTCAGGGAAAAAATATTGTTTCTAAAAATGGTGCTGGGACAACTGAATACCAAGGAATGAATTTGGACCCTTACCTGATACCTTACAGAAAAAGTAACTCAGCCCTGGCTGGTTTGGCTCAGCGGTTAGAGCGTCAGCCTGCGGTCCTGAGAGACCCGGGTTCGGTTCCCGCTTGGGCGCGTACCTTGGTTGCAGTTTGTCCCCGGCCCTGGTCGGTCGTGCGGGTGGCAGCCACTCGATGTGTTCCTTTCACATCGATGTTTCTCTCTCTCTCTTCCTCTCTCTCCCTCCCACTCTACCTGAACAAAAAATGGAAAAATGTCCTCGGGTGAGGATTAAAAAATAAAAAATAATAATAAAAAAAGAAAAAGTAACTCAAAGTGGCTCAGTCATAAACATAAAAGCTAAAACCATAAAACTATTAGAAGAAAACAGAATTAATCTTTGTGATCTTAGAGTAGGCAATGGTTTCTTAGATATGCTACCAAAAGCACAAATCACCAAAGGAAAAAATAGATAAAATAGACATCAACATTTTAAGCCTTTAAAACACTGTCAAAAAATGAAAAGACAACTCACAGAACTGGAGAAAATATTTGTAAATGTGTATCTGATAAAGGACTAGTGTCTAAAATATATAAAGAAATTTTGCAACTCAACAATAAAAGGTAAGTATAACAAATTTTAAAATGGGCTAACGATCTGAATAGATATTTCTCCAAAGAAGATTTACAAATGGCTAATAAGTATGTGAAAAGATATTCATCATCACTACTTATTAGGGAAATGCAAATCAAAACCACAGTGAGACAGCACTTTACACCCACTAGAATGGCTTCAATAAAAAGGTCAGACAATAATAAGTATGGTAAATGATGTAGGATCACTGAAACTCATACATTGCTGGTGGAAGTTTTAAAATGGTGCAGCTGTTACGGAAAACAGTTTGGCAGTACCTCAAAAGTTAAATATAAGGTTATTATATCACCCAGGAATTCCACTCATAGAACTGAAAACACATCCACCCCAAATCTTGTAAACAAATGTTCACAGCAGCATTGTTCATAATAACCAAAAAGTGAAACAAACCAAATGTGCATCAGTGGATGAACAGATAAACAAAACATTATATATCCATACAATGGCATATTCTTTAGCTGTAAAACAGAATAAAGGACTAATAAATGCTACAACATGGATGAACCTTGGAAACATGCTAAGTGTGAAGTTAGACATAAAAAGCCACATGATGTATGATACCATTTATATGACATGTCCAGCAAAGATAAATCCATAAAGGTAGAATGGAAATTAGGGGTTGCCGGGGGTGGGGAGAGGGAAGTGTGGGGATTGACTGCTAACGGTGTAGTTTTCTTTTGGGGATCATGAAAATGTTCTGGAATTAGTGGTGCGGTGTGAGTACACAGCCACCATCTCCTTCTGCCCCAGTATGCTGTACCTGGCCTGAAGGCTTCTGATTCCCTTCTTTGTTGTTCCCTGTGGAAAGCCATTGGCAGTGACATCCAATGGCTGCTCAGGAACTGCACTCCAGCTGATGGCTATGAAAAGATAAAATTCTGGAGTTAAAACTGCCCAGTTTTTGCCCTGGCCAGTTTGGGTCAGCAGTTAGAGCGTTGGCCCGCGGACCGGGGAGTCCCGGGTTCGGTTCCCGCTAAGGGTGCGTACCTTAGTTGTGGTTCATCCCCAGCCCCGGTTGGGGTCGTGCGGGTGGCAGCCAGTCGATGTGTCTCTCTCATCGATGTCTGTCTGTCTCTCTCTCTTCCTTCCTCTCTCCCTCCTGCTCTATCTGAAGATAAATGCAAAAAAATGTCCTCAGGTGAGGATAAAAACAAAAACTGCCCAGTTTTCTATAAATTCCAGAGGGTTTTTTTTAATTTTTAAAATTGATTTGAGAGAGAGGAAGGGAGAGAGAAAAACATTGATGTGAGAGAGAAACATCGATCAGTTGCCTCCTGCACATGCCATGACCTGAGACCGAACCTGCAACTTAAGTATGTGCCCTGAGTGGGAACTGGGCCCACCACCTTTTGGTGCATGGGACAACTGACCCACACCAGCCAGGGTAGAGGTGTTTTAATAAGACTATTTCCCTGCCGTCCAGCCGGTGTGGCTCAGTGCTTGAGCATTGACCCATGCACCAGGAGGTTGCCGATTTGATTCCTGGTCAGGGCACATGCCCAGGTTGCGGGCCTGATCCCCAGTTGGGGGCATGTAGGAGGTGGCCAGTCAATGTTCTCTCTCTCTCCCTCTCACTTCCTCTCTCTCTAAAATCAATAAAGGAAAAAAAAAAAAAGTTTCCCTACCTCTGCAGATTCATAAAAGCTTGATATAATGTCAGACACAATGATTGTCACTCTGACACTTGGCTTCCAGAGTACAAGTGGTTCATGATTAATCATCATCATTGCTGTAACAACTAACAATCACTGAGCACTTATTATATGCTAAACACATAGTAAATGAATGAAAACAGAATTTCTCATTTAATCCTCACAACACTTAAAAATAAATGATATTCTTATCTGAAGGTGAAGAAATTGAGGCTGAGAGAAAATAAGTAGGTTGCCCAGGGTAACAAAAAACATGAACTTGACAGTGTGGGTGTCTCCAAAGCCGACACTATTGACCATTTGGATGTTAAACTGCCTTCCCAGTCAGGGAAGATACAGCCCATCCCAAGCCATTCCATGGTCTGGGGACAAGTTACTCCAGGGCAAGTGGAATCTGGATGACTTACCTGCACCACAAGGAACAAGTTGGCCTGGGCTGTCAGCCCTTTTGGCCTGCACTGCACAGCGACTCTGCTCAAATAGTAAATCTGACTGCTGTATTTTTACTTCTTGAACTTCAAAGCCTCTGGGTAAAGCCGAGATGTTCTGACATCTAAATGTGAGAAAAAAATGCATTTCGTTTAGGCATACTCAAGAAAGAGAGTATCTAGGACTGTGGATGGCATCAGCACCTTTGTGTCTTGGTGCGAGGCAAAGGCCTTAGGAGGTGTGTGGGTTTGTTTGTTTATTTATTTATGGGGAGGGAAGTACAGGGAAATATGACAGAATAGAATCTAAATCATATGACCCTTACAGCTGCAGGAAGATCCCTTCTGATCACTCTAAAGTGATAACTATCGGAGTCATCACCCCTTGGTGACTTCAGTAACACAAAAATCCATTACTGATACTGGTTTTGAAAGATCTGAATCCCTTAAGCAGAAATTTAAGGGAATCCTTCAAACACACAAGAAACCAAAATTATCCTATAAAAGTTAATTTATTTTTCTTTTATCTTCCACATAAACTAAATGCCAACATGATGCTGATTTATTTTATTTTATTTTTAAATTATTGTGGCCTAGCTGGTGTGGCTCAGTGGTTGAGTGTCGACTCGTGCACTAGGAGGTCACTGGTTCAGTTCCCAGTCAGGGCACATGCCCATGTTGTGGGCCAGATCCCCAGAGGGGGCTGTATAAGAGGCGGCCGGTCAATGTTCTCCCTCATCGATGTTTCCATCTCCGTCTCCCTTCCTATTTCTCTAAAATCAATAAAGGGAAAAATTAAAAATAAATTATTGAATTTTTAATATTTTATTAATTTTTAGAGAGAGAGAGAAAGAAATCATAGATTTGTTGTTCCATTTATTTGTGCATTCATTGGTTGATTCTTGTATATGTCCTGACCAAGGATTGAACCCACAACCTTGGTATATCGGGTCAATGCTTTAACCAACTGAGCTCCTGGGCCAGGGCTTTATGACTCTGGTTTAAAGCTGAGCAGACAGCAACTTAAAATGCCAGAACAGGGAAAATACAGAAGATACAGAAAACATCTTGAACACAGTGCCTAGGGTAGCTTTTCTTTTAAACATCTTTATTGGAATATAGTTTATATAACAAAAAATTCGCCCATCTAAAGTGCACAAGTCAATGTTTTTTTTGTTTTTTTTTAGCATATTCACAGAATTGTGCAATTATCACTACAATCTAAGTTTATAACATTTTCACTGTGCCAGTAAGAAATGCTGCACCAATTAGCAGTCACTCCCCATGCTCTTCTCCAGCTCCTGGCACCGCTTTCTGTCTCTATGGACTGTCTACTTATTTTGGATATTTCATTACATAAAATCATACATTATGTGGCTTCTTTCACTCAAAATAAGTTTCTCAAGGTTTACACATGATGCAACGTGTATCAGTCCTTTATTTTGTGTGTGTGGCTGAGTACTAGTTCATTGTATGGATATGCCATATTTATATTATTCACTTATCAGCCGATGGACATTTAGGTTGTTTCACTTTTTGGCTATTATGACTAATGCTGCTATAAACATTTATGTACAAGTTTTTATGTGAATATATGTTTTCATTTCTCTTGGGTATGTACCCATGAGTGGAATTAGTGGGTTATATCCTGGGGCCACTTCCTGGAGTTGGCTTCAGGCCATTTAATACAGGCCCACAGGCTTCTCCTGGCCATGGCTTCATCTTACCCTCAGTTACTACAGCATTTATTGGGTTTGGCTGCCTTCTTTAGGGAGACCATACTTGAGCGGTCATCTTTTGTCATTTATCTTTAAAAAAATTAACACTAATGTTTGAAGCTTTCAAAAAAAATTAACAGCAATATATGTACACTGCAGAAAATACAGTAATCACAAAGAACGAAAAACTACCCATAATACCACATCTCAGTGGTGATATTAATACCTTTGTGTATAGCTTCCTACAATTTTTTTCTCTATGTACATATACTTTAACACCAAAATGAACTTACTTTATCTTCTAAATTACTTTTTTTTAATGTTTTTTAAAATTTATTTATTTTAGAGAGAGGAAGGGAGAGATCAATGAGGAAAGCAAGCATCAACATCGACTGGCTGCCTCCTGCACACCCCCACCGAGGATGGAGCACACAACCCAGGCATGTGACCTGACTGGGAATAGAACCAGCAACCTCCTGGTGCATAGGCTGATACTCAACCACTGAGACACACCAGCAGGCTTCTAAATTATTCTTTAAACATTATTCAATTTCTTCAACAGAAGTCTTTTTTTTTTTAATCCTCACCTGAGGATATTTTTCTATTTATCTTCAGATAGAGTGGGAGGGAGAGAAAGGGGGAGAGAGAGAGAAACATTGACGTGAGAGGGACACATTGACTGGTTGCCTCCCACACGACCCCAACCAGGACCAAGGACGAACCGCAACTGAGGTATGTGCCCTTGACCGTAATCAAACCTGACACGCATTGGTCTATGGACCCATGCTCTACCGCTGAGACAAACCAGCCAGGGCTTCAACAGAAGTCTTAACAAAAATGACTTGATCTATTGCTTTTATTTTTAAAATGACTACACACAATGCTAAATGTTTGAACCTTACTTAATTATTTCCTTAGGACAAATTCTTTGCAGTAAAACTGTTGGACCAAAATGTATAGATATTTCTAAGGTTCTTTGGGCATACTCTCAAACTGCTTCTTGGAAAGTGTGTTCCAATGGAGCCCTCCCTCCCTGCCCTCTCACCTCCCAATTAGTGCTCTATGCATGGCTTCCTGGCTGTATGGGCACTTCCCGATGACCACAGCTGACAGGTAGATGGGCTCTTCTAGGAAGTGCATCAACAACGATCCCTGGCATCCGAGGACATTCCACCGTGCCAACTTGTCACTGCAGGACATGGAGCAAGTCCTGTCTCCCCGGCCTGGCTTCACTCGGAGCAGCCCCACCCGGTGATATGCAGCACCAGGCTTCCCCGAGTCTCCAGCTTCTCCAGGCACACACTTGGCTCCAGTTCTATAAACATCCACCACTTTGCCACCACTGGGGGCCATTCTAGCAATAGTGGCCAGTTCCTCCGAGGTGAGATTAGAGCTGCTGACACTTGGTGGGACTGGACCACTTTCCTGATTGCCAAAACTCCGATGGTGAACCACACTGTTGGTGACTTTTCTGTCAGGAGTTCTGGGCTCAAGCCTCATTTTTTTGGTCACAGGACTGTCTGGGTCTTCACATTTCCTTTTATCTTCAGTAGTTTCCAGGTTACCACTGGCTTCTACTGATGGATCATGGGCCCAATCTCTACTGACAGGATAGCAAGGCTGATCTCCAAACTCGAACATTGGAGTGATGGAGGCATCCCCGCCTACAGAGGAAGAAACCGCTTAAACCAGTGGTTCTCAAAGTGTGACCAGCCATAGCAGCAACGCTTGGGAACTTGTTAGAGATGCAAATTCTTGGAATCACAGTAGACCTGCTGCATCTGAAGCTCTGGAAGTGGCATCCAGCAGTCTGCGCATTAGTGAACTTTCCGGGTGATTCTGATACAAGCTCAAGTTTGAGAACCATTGTTCTAAACAAAGCTTATTATTCTCCCAGCTGACCTGAGATGAATTAAGAACACTTGCCCAAATTTCCCAAATATGAATCCTCTTGTTGATGACCCCTGACCCTCTCCTAGACTCTCCTCTCTGGAGGGGAGGGGTCTGGAAAACCAGGTATTTTAACAAAGATCCCAGGTAGCCCTGGCCGGTTTGGCTCAGTGGTTAGAGCGTCAGCCTGTGGTCCAGAGAGGCCCAGGTTCGGTTCCTGCTAAGGGCACGTGCCTCAGTTGCAGTTTGTCCCTGGTCCTGGTTGGATCGTGCAGGTGGCGACCACTCGATGTGGCCCTTTCACGTCGATGTTTCTCTCTCTTCTTCTCTCTCCCTCCCACTCTATCTGAACAAAAAATGGAAAAATATCCTTGGGTGAGGGGGGAAAAAGAGATCCCAGGTAATTCTTTATCACAGGACGTTTTAGAAACATTAGTTTAGAACAGGGTTTCTCAACTTTTGCATTATTATTATTTTTCCCATTTACCTTCAGGTAGAGTGGGAGGGAAGGTGAGAGGGAGAGAGAGAGAAACATCGATGTGAGAGAGAAACATCGGTTGGTTGCCTCCCACAGGACCCTGACCAGGGCCCGAACTGCAACCAAGGTATGTGCCCTTGACCAGAATCAAATCTGCAACTCTTTGGCCCCAGTCCAATGCTCTAACTCAGCAGTTCTCAACCTGTGGGTTGTGACCCCTTTGGGGGTCACATGACCCTTTCACAGGGGTCGCCTTAGACATAACAGTTGCAAAATTACAGTTATGAAGTAGCAATGAAAATAATTTTATGGCTGGGGGTCACCACCACATGAGGAATTGTATTAAAGAGTTGTGGCATTAGGAAGTTTAGGAACCACTACTCTAACTGCTAAATCAAACAGGTCACGGCTCAACCTCTTCATTACTGACATTTTGGGCCAGATAATTCTATGCTGTGGGGTATGTCCTGTACATTACAGGATGTTTAGTAACCTCCCTGGTCTCTACTTATTAGATCAATAGCACTATCTAGTCTGACCATCAAAAATGTCTCCAGATGTTGCTAAATGTCCTCTAAGGAACAAAACAGTCCTAAATTGAGAACCACCAGATTAGAATGAGCAGTTTTCCAAGTGTATTTTGTGGAATGTTATCCCATAAGCTGTCTTGAAAAACAAAAGTGGGTGGCTGATTTAAAGGTTAAATAAGTTCGCCTGGCCAATGTGGCTCAGTGGTTGAGCGCCGACCCATGTACCAAGAGGTTCAATTTCTAGTCAGAGCACACGCCCAGGTTGTGGGTCACATCCCTAGTGGGGGGCACGCAGGAGGCGGCCAATATGTGTTTCTATCTCTTGCTCCATCTCCCTTTCCACTGTCTCTAAAAATCAATAAAAAATTGATGTTCTCTGCCCTGGCTGGTTTGGCTCAGCGGTTAGAGCATCGGCCTGCGGTCCAGAGAGACCCGGGTTCGGTTCCCGCTAAGGGCATGTACCTAGGTTGCAGTTTGTCCCCGGGCCTGGTTGGGTCATGCGGGAGGCAGCCACTCGATGTGTCCCTTTCACATCGATGTTTCTCTCTCTCGCTCTTCCTCTCTCTCCCTCCCGCTCTATCTGAATAAAAAATAGAAAAATGTCCTCGCGTGAGGATAAAAAAAAAAAAAAAATCGATGTTCTCTCTCATCGATGTTTCTGTCTCTCTCTCCCTCTCACTTCCTCTCTAAAATCAATAAAGGAAAAAAAATTTTTTAAGAAAGTCCGGCTGGTGTGGCTCAGTGGTTGAGCGTTGACCCACGCACCAAGAGATCACCGGTTTGATTCCCAGTCAGGACACATGTTCAGGTTGTGGACCTGATCCCCAGTGGGGGGCATGCAGGAGGCAGCCAATTGATATTCTCTCTCATCAATGTTTCTTTTTTTTTTTTTAATCCTCACCCAAGGACATTTTTCCATTTTTTGTACAGATAGAGTGGGAGGGAGAAAGAGGAAGAGAGAGAGAGAGAGAGAGAGAGAGAGAGACATCGACGTGAAAGGGACACATCGAGTGGCTGCCACCTGCACGAGGCACATGCCCTTAGCGGGAACCGAACCCGGGTCTCTCCGGACCACAGGCCGACGCTCTAACCACTGAGCAAACCAGCCAGGGCTCTCATCAATGTTTCTATCTCTCTCTCCCTCTTCCTTCCTCTCTCTCTAAAATCAATAAAGAAAAAAAAATTAAAAATAAAAAAAAAATATACATAACCAGTGGACATGGACAACAAAGCCGGGGATGGGGAGGGTGTGTGGGGGGGAGGGGGGTGCCAATGGGGTAAAAAAGGAGAAACATCTGTAACAAAAAATAAATTAATTAATTAAAAAGAAAAAAATAAATAAATAAAAATAATAAAAAATAAAAAAAAAGTTAAGTAAGTTTGGCAAACAATACAATTTCCCCATCTTGGAGATGTATGTGCATATTCTCAGAGTAAAAACTCTGCGGTAAATTACACAGCTGGTGTTTCCCCATGCTGGTTTAGGGATTTCTGACCTACGCTGTGCTTACAGGGAATAAAAAGACAACAAGCCAGAGGTTAGCAAACAGCACAGCTTCCTGGTGAAAAGGGAACTACCTCTTCAAACACTAACCTAATGTGTGGTGTTTTTCTAAAGCATGTGAATAATACATCTGTAGCCTCAACACCCAAGTGTGGGAAAGGCAAGAGATGCATTAGTGGGAGTCCTGCCAGACAGGCTGGCTGGCAGATTTCCAGAGACCTCACAAGGTTACAGTGACTTTGGAGAATTCACCAGGGCTCACCTCCCACTCTGAAAGCTCAGAAATTTGATCTTGACAGATGCCTGAACTCAAGAGGCTGACTCATGCTAATAAAACTCACATATAAGAGTCTGAAGTAGCTAACCCATGCACCAAATTATCAATTAATAATGAGGAATAAATGCCAAGAGCGCCAGATAGTCACATTCTCTAGGCAGTGTTCTTTCTGCAGACAAACCATAAGTGGACATCACATTAAATTATATTTTTAGCCCTGGCTGGTTTGGCTCATTGGTTAGACCCACAAACCGATGAGTCACGGGTTTGATTCTGGTCAAGGGCACATGTTTCAGTTGTGATTTGTCCCAGGCCCTGGTCGAGGTCATGTGGGAGGCAGCCAGTTGATGTGTCTCATTCACATCAATGTTTCTCTCTCTCTCTCTCTCTCTCTCTCTCTCTCTCTCTCTCTCTCCCTCCCTCCCTCCCTCCCTCCCTCCCTCCCTCCAACTCTATCTGAAGATAGAGCAGTACCAGCCTGTGGACCATTGATGTATGTCATCTGAGCAGGTGGTCAGCCTAGCTTGATCACTAGATTCATTTGTCTCCACAATAAGACTACACCTGCTACTGGAATCAGCCAGGCCCGGGCTACTCAAAAAGTGGTCCACAGGCCAAACACCATTGGCATCAACCATGAGTTGATTAGAGATGCTGAACCTCAGCCTCCGCCCCAGAATTTGAATCTGCATTTTAGCAAGATTCCTGGGTGATTCACATGCATATTATAGCTTAAGAAGCACTAAGTTTGAAAATATCCTTTGGTCCTTGGACTAGAGCACCCAATGCTAAGAACAACATGGATGAGCCCTGCCTACCTCTGTATGTAATTTTTCTGGCCTTTGACTCATAACCAACTATTCATTAATAGACTCATTCTTTAAGTGGTATTATACTTAAAAAAAAAATTGTTTTCTTTACCGATTTTTAGAAAGAGAGAAAAAGAGAGAGAGAGAGAGAGAGAGAGAAACATCGATGCGAGAGAACACTGATTGGCCGCCTTCTGCATGCCCCCTAATGGGGATTGAGCCCACAACCTGGGCATGTGCCCTGACCAGGAATTAAACCGGCAACCTCTTGGTGCATGGGTCAACACTCAACCACTGAGCTATACCAGCCAGACAAGCTGTATTATACTTTTGCTTTGAATTATGATCAAGTCTTTTTTATTTTATTTTATTTATTTATTTATTTTTTGGTACGTGCCCCTAGTGGGAACTGACCCAGGACTCCAAGGGCATGTACCTCGTTTGTGGTTTGTCACCGGCCCTGGTTGGGTCGCGAGGTAGGCAGCCAGTCGATGTGTCTCTCTCACATTGATGTTTCTCTCTCTCTCTCTCTCCCTTCCTCCCACTCTATCTGATGATGATAAATAGAAAAATATCCTTGGGTGATGATTTAAAAAAAAACTGTTGAATGAATGAATGAAATGAGTTTGGACTTTTAAGCCTTACTGTTGGTTTCAGACCTTGTGGGGTTTCAGCTTTAGGTTTCTAAGTCTTGATTAGAAACTGAGAAGTGAGTAATATGAGCGAGTCCCCCCCACCCCTGCCTTTTCTTGGCAGAGAAATAATTAGGCACACTAGCCTATTCACAATGAGGCAATGTTGCCGATTGTAGCTACACTTCAAGCCAGAAGAGCTTTTTTGAGAGACGTATCTATGGATAAGACAAAGGTAAGGAAGTAGCCCTGGCCGGTTTGGCTCAGCGGTTGGAGTATCGATCGGCCTGCGGACCAGAGAGTCCCGGGTTCGGATTCCAGTAAGGGCGTGTACCCCCAAAAAAAAACAAACCCGTAAGGAAGTACACAATGCAACATTAATCCAAAGGCTTGAATATACTTACAGGGTGTATGGCTGGAGAAAAATAAAAACAAGAGGTCTGGTCTGAGTTTCCACAGTCCTCTCTGAGTTCCTGGGACAAAGATGCTATCCTCCTTCAGAGTGGCCGCCAAGTGAAGTTGATGGAGAAGGTACCTAATGAGTGCAAGATATTATCAGGAAAAAAGAAATCTCTGGGGTAAAGGGGAAGACTGGCTGGGTGATTACTAAGAAAGAAAGATCTACTAAAGACCCATGGGACTGATAGTGATTTGTAACTATAAGAATGATCTAGCCCTGGCCAGTTTGGCTCAGCGGTTAGAGCGTTGGCCTGCGGTCCGGAGAGACCCGGGTTCGGTTCCCGTTAAGGGCATGTACTTTGGTTGCAGTTTGTCCCCGGCCCTGGTTGGTCGTGCAGGTGGCAGCCACTCGATGTGTCCCTTCACATCGATGTTTCTCTCTCTCTCTCTCCTTCCTCTCTCTCCCTCCCACTCTAGCTGTACAAAAAATGGAAAAATATCCTCGGGTGAGGATAAAAAAAAAAAAAAAAAAAAAGAATGATCTAGACCCGTGATTCTCAAAGTGTGGTCCTTGAATCAGCAACATAAGCATCATCTGGAATTTGTTAAGAGATGCAACTTCTCAAAAAGAAGAAAAGAAAGAAATGCAACTTCTCAGGCTCCATCTTTGATCTGCTGATTCAGAATCTGTGGGTGGGCCCTGCAATCTGGATTTTAACAAACCCTTTAGGTGTTTCTCATGTACACTCAAGCATGATACCCACTGTAAAGACCAATGCTATTCAAAGTTTAGTTCACAGGCTAAAATAATCAGTTTTACTTGGGAGCTTATGAGAAATACAAATTCTGGGGCCCCCAACCCAGGATAAATTAGAATCTCTGGGGATGCGACTTTACCTTTGGAAACTCCTTCTGGCTATGACCTCAGCATGGCTATCATTGAGGATATCTCCTGTGGCAAAGACAGGACACTAGTGAAGACATTGGAACCTGGAGAAGCCTGGTTTCTAGAAGCAGAACACAGCAGTTTCCTCCAGCACTCAGGATGGCCATGTAGCTCCTGGAGGGCTTTGCCAGAAAGTATCACAATCATTAATGACAATGCATTTACTGAAGGGGTCCTCAACTCAGCACTGTTTACATTAAGCTGGAAAACTCTCTGTTGTGAGGGTCTGTCCTGTGCATTGTAGGGTGTTGAGCAACATTCCTGGCAGGCTGGCAGCATACTCCCTTCCCTCTGTTGTGACAACAAAAACTGTCTCCAGACACTACCAAATGTCCCATGGAAGGAAAAAAATCTCCCCTAGCTGAAAACTACTGATTTATAGGGAAATATTTATCTGGAGGACAGTGGTCCAGATTTTTTGTGCCCTGGAATCATACTTGTTGATGCCAAAGTCTCCATTTAGTTCAAGATTGCTTTCTGGGGTGTCAGAGATACTATGGATTAGCTAAGTACAGGGAATTTCTGGTTTTGAGCATGAAAATACTGATCAAGCCCTGGCCGGTTTGGCTCAGTGGTTAGAGCGGCGGCCTACGGTCCAGAGAAACCCGGGTTTTGTTCCCACTAAGGGCATGTACCTCGGTTGCAGTTTGTCCCCAGCCCTGGTTGGGTCGTGTGGGTGGTGACTACTCGATGTGTCCCTTTCACGTCAATGTTTCTTTCCCTCCCTCCCTCCCTCCCTCCCACTATCTGAACGAAAAAAGAAAATACTGGTCAACTTGCAATATACTCTGAAAGCATGTTCCTGGCAGCCTTTGCTTCCATTGCTTATTCCCATTCTTTTTTTTTTTTTTATCCTCACCCGAGGACATTTTTCCATTTTTTGTTCAGATAGAGCGGGAGGGAGGGAGAGAGAGGAAGAGAGAGAGAGAAACATCGATGTGAAGGGACACATCGAGTGGCTGCCACCCGCACGACCAACCAGGGCCGGGGACAAACTGCAACCGAGGCACATGCCCTTAGCGGGAACCGAACCCGCGTCTCTCTGTACCGCAGGCCGACGCTCCAACCGCTGAGCCAAACCGGCCAGGGCTCCATTCTTTAAGTGAGTTCTGTCCTTCCAACTGGAGTGACAGTCAGTGTGAACTGAAATGTCAGCCACCTCAGTAATATGATCCCTTTTTCCTGAAGAAGAAAGGGCAACGTAGTAGACACGGTTCCCAAAGATCCTTAGATAGGTACTTTTTAGACCCCAAGTAGGCTTACCGCTCTTCCTCATTTTGGACTGGCCTATGCATTTTGTTCCTGTTCCCATTGAGACAACTTCCTTTGTCACTGATGGGGGCGGAGGAAGGGGGAAGAAAACAATCATTAAGTGAGCTTTTGGAATTGGAATAGTCACCAGTCCTCAAGTTTAATAAGTCTGCAGTTTCCTCTAGAGCAGTGGTTCTCAACCTGTGGGTCACGACCCCTTTGGGGGTCGAATGATCCTTTCACAGGGGTCGCCTAAGACCATCGGAAAACACATATTTCCGATGGTGATTCATAATAGTAGCAAAATTACAGTTATGAAGTAGCAACAAAAATAATTTTATGGTTGGAGGTCACCACAACATGAAGAACTATATTAAAGGGTCATGGCATTAGGAAGGTTAAGAACCACTGCTCTAGAGCATTCCCATAGGCGGACCCATCTGAAGAGCTGCTGTTCTAGCAAGGCCTTCTCCCACCACCTGAAGTATGGCGCCATCTGGCGGAGAGCAGGGGAACATGCCTGACATCTCAGTTAATACCCAGCAAGGACTATCAGCCACATATAATTTCTACCACCTCTGACAAAAGGAGAGTTTCAAGGAGAAAGGTCTCACCTTGCACCTGTTTGCCAGGGCACTCACAGGCTTGGTCAGCTATAGGCTGTATCTTCACCACAGCTGCTAGTATTGTCCATTCCCGGTTGGGCTCAGGTTTCCCCTGCTTGGGCAGCCTGACCCTATAGTGTTCATAACACAGGTAAGCAATCTCATCTGGGGTCCACATGGTGCCGAGTTCCTGATCAAAAACCACAACCATCAGAAGTACAAACTTGCTCTCCCTTTGGGGAGTACCTGGGCCTTTCCCTTCCCCCCTTCTTTCCCCACAGGTGTGCATTTCCTAAACTCTAAGGGACTCCAAACACTTGCAACCAGGGAGCAATGGGCAGCAGCAGCTCCTAGGCTAACTCTCTGAACCTATCCCCAAGTCCCCTTTTCTTCAACTGTCTAGTGAGCTGACAGCAGTCCTACCTTGCTTACTTCTTTCCCTTAATAAATGTACTCTCCAAATTAAAAAAAAAAAGGAAGTACAGAAATGGGATCTAATACACAATGCTACACCCTAACACCAGTGTGCTTCAACAGGTTTCAGATGTAGCCCAACCAGGTTCATACTGAAATTTCTCTATCTGAAACTCTATGGGTCATATTCTCCTACTTCCTAGCCCATTTTCACCTTTGTTGTTGTTGTAATCCTCACTTGAAGATATTTTTCCACTGATTTCTTTTTTTAGATAAAGAGTGGACGGGAGGGAGGGAGAGAGAGGGGAGATAAACATTGATGTGAGAGAGGCACAATGACTGGGAATCATACCCGAGACACTTAGGTCCAAGGGCTGATGCTATAACCATTAAGCCAAACCAGCCATGGCCTATTTTCATCTGTAAGGAAAGATAAAAAAAAAAAGTCCTAAATCCTACCAACCCCAGAAGACACCTATTTCTTCAAGCTGTTTTTTTTTTTTTTAATCCTTTTTCAGGCATTTTCTTTTCTTTTCTTTTTTTTTTATCCTCACCCGAGGATATTTTTCCATTTTTTGTACAGATAGAGCGGGAGGGAGAGAGAGGAAGAAAGAGAGAGAGAGAGAGAGAGAGAGAGAGAGAGAGAAACATCGATGTGAAGGGACACATCGAGTGGCTGCCACCCGCACGACCAACCAGGGCCAGGGACAAACTGCAACCGAAGTACGTGCCCTTAGCGGGAACCAAACCCGGGTCTCTCCGGACTGCAGGCCGACGCTCTAACCGCTGAGCCAAACCGGCCAGGGCTTTCAGGCATTTTCTTTTTCTCTCCTCCTCATCTCTCCAAATTGGTTCTTTTATTTATTTTTTAATGTTTTTTTCTTTGATTTTTTAGAGATAGAGGAAGGGAAAGAGAAAGAGAAAGATCGATGAGGGAGAACATCGACTGGCTGCCTCCTGCATGCCCCCTACTGGAGATCAGGCCCACAACCTGGGCATGTGCCCTGACAGGGAATCAAACCTGCAACCTCTTGGTGCATGGGTCAACACTCAACCACTGAGCCATACCTGCTGGGCTCCAAATTGATTCTTCACCTCCCACTAGTAAATCTTCACTGATGCCCCTATCAGGAAAGCAACCCTTGAATTTCTCCAGTAACATTTTATGATGCAGAGGGGAGATGTGACAGAGCCCAGTGGTTTCTCACCAGTCAGTGGTCTCACAGGAATTGTGAAGGGCGTGGGCTTTAGAGTCACCCTTTCTGTATTCTAATTACGGCTTTGCTTATATTAACTTTGTGGAATTGGGTAGATTACTTAACCTGTATCTTCATTTGTTAAAATAAGAATAACAGTAGTATTTAATCACGGGGTTATTGCGAGGATTAAATAATACTTATAAATAGTAACTGCTACAATATTGAGCATTAGTGTCAACTGTGATTAGTATTACTAAAAAGAACATTTGATTATCCTGATTGCTTTACCTTGAGATCCTTGAAAGTGGGAATGTAATGGGTGCATAAAGCCATAAATAAAAACTATTCAGTAGATCAGACCTGAAAGACGCCTAGGATACTTTGCTGGAAACTCACACTGTTGACTCTATCAATGACCCTATTTGGATTCAAATGTATGAAAAGCTTCTTGGTAGAAAATGAGATCATATGGTGATCAGGACATAGCTAAATGTTTAAAAAGAAAAAAAAAAAAGACTTTACTGGCCCCCAATGCATGTTCCTCCTGAAAACTGTTGTTTCTCTGCCTGGCCTCCTTGTGGCTATAATGGCCATGGAGGACTATGTAAGGAAACAAGATCTAAACCTGTAAATGCCTCAAGGTGTGGAGGAAAAAGGGGCCACATACTAAACCTGACAAGCTCAGGGGAAGCCTGCATGGCAAGCCTTACAAACTCTGAGACCAAAAGTAACTACATAGATGGTCCGAATATAAAAATTCCTAACTGAAAACGAGTCATGGTGGCTAGTCGTGTCCCAGGCCTGTAGCTTCCTTGAAAGGTCAATCTTTACCTTAAATAAGCCTGTCCATTATCTTTTTGCATCTAAGAAAACATACTTTTGAAATATCAGAGTAATCTTTTTTTCCAGACCCCTCAGGGCACAACCACCACCAGAGCAAGAGACCACAGAACCCCTTATTGTTATCTTGTTTCCCGCATATCATCTCTATGTACTACAAAGGTTGATTGACTATCCTGTACCCACCAATGTGAAAGATCTATGTTTTCTCTCTTGCCTTTTTTATCCAATCCCAGATGTTTCCCTATTTTGCTTTCTCCAGCTCCCTTAATCTACATGGATTTCACGTAATCCTCCTTATATCTGCTTTTATACTAATATATTAAATAAACTGCAAAACTGTCATTCTCTAGAGCACTTTCTTAATCTGTCAAGATGTAGCTTCCTGGCAATGGTCAATTTGGCTCACATAAATTTATAAAACTTCTCTATAGGTTTGGATGTTTCTTATCTCCACAAAGCTTACATCAAAAACACTAAGAACAACCAATCACAGCCAATTAGGCTTTAAGCTATAGCCAACCAAATAATTCCCTTTCTTACTTATGCAGTTTCTCTGTCTTCCCCCTAGCTCCAATCTACTGCTCCAAACCACTTCCGGTTTGGTTCTGACAGATTGGTACTGATTTTTGCTCAAACTCTTAAAAATTTTAATATTCCTATTTATTTTTAACAGTTCAGATGTGCAGGCCTGTTATTACAATTGGTCATGAAAATCAGACCATAGTGATTTAAAACAAAAATCTGGCAGGCACTGACATAACTTGTAACTTTAAAATCAGAGAACCAACATTAAGTCTTGCATCTATTAGAGCAAAAGAAAAGGAAAGGAGGGATCCTAAAATTCTCCATTTGCATCCCCCTCTCATTTTTAGGGTGGTGTGGGGGTGGCTACCAGAGGGCAGTCTATTTTATGCAGGCAGATACTCAGGGAACCAACCTGTAATTAAACCAGAGATACACAGCACAAACCATTAACAGCCAAGGAAGACAGAACTTGCTAGAAGAAACCTTGACTGCCTAAGATGAAGCATCCCAGAACTGTATCATCCTCTCATTAACATATTTGAGTCTGGATGAGCCTGCACAATAGTTGAGTAAATATTTTTGATATACTGCCCTGGTTTGGCTCAGCGATTAGAGCGTTGGCCTGAGGACCAGAGTTCTGGGTTCGGTTCCTAAGGGCACGTACCTCGGTTGCAGTTTGTCCCCAGCCCCAGTGGGGGTTGTGTGGGTGGCAACCACTCGATGTGTCTCACATTGATGTTTCTCTCTCTTCCTCCTGCTCTATCTGAAAAAATATATACATATATATCTTTGATATACTGGGTCCACTGCAATTCAATTCCACTCTCTCCTAGATCATGAACAGCTTCTTCCTATTAAACAGGCTTTATTTTTATTTTTTGTCCCACAAGACCGCTTGTTGTTACAGTTACAAAAAGCTTATGGACCCAATTTTTTTTTTTTTTTTTTTGGTACGTGCCCCTAGCGGGAACCGAACCTGGGGCTCTCTGGTCCACAGGCCGACACTACAACCGCTGAGCCAAACCGGCCAGGGCCCCATTTTCTTTTCAAATAAAAATGAAGGCAGCTCGGCTGCCAAGGGGGTAAAGGGTTTAAGCGAAGTAGGGAGGGAGGACTGTAAGCCTACTTCCCTCGGGCCCCCTCCTCAGTCCCCTCGGAAGTGGACCCTCTTCTCCACTGGCTCTAGGGGCCCAAGGGAGACCCAAGGATACAAGAGACCCCAGCTCCGTGGAGCGGGCACCGCGCGCGCCGGACTCCCTGGGCAATGCCGGCTGCGGCGGCACACGCCGCGCGCTCGCCCAGCAGGAACACCCGCGTACTCTGGCACCTCCAGGAAAGCAGCTGCACTTTTCCACGTAACGCGCATGGGGGGGAACGTCTACCCCCGTTCCACACAAAATGGCCTCGGAAAAGTCAGGCCGAGGGCACCTCACCGAGGTGCCCCAGAGAACCCCCCGCCCCCTCATTCCACTGCTCTAGGCCGCATAAACCCACCGTCTCTCCGACGCTCCCTTCCCACCTTCAAGACGCGCGCCCTCGAGGTAACAAGCGGAACTCGCGCAGCGTCGGGAACGTGACGTCACAAAGAGGCTGTCCTTCCAGGCCCCGCCCCCAGGAGTGCGCAATGTACACTGGCTCTTGTAGTCCTTCCGGCAGGCGTGGTACTGGTACTTAAGAGTCTGGCCGCTTGCGGACCTGTGCGTAGGTACCAGTGAAATGTGCTGAAGGAAGCTGACTCCAGGGTAAGATATGGTTCAATTCGTAGTAGAATGATATCATGCCTTGGAACACTAGTCTAAATTTCTGTCTAAAACAGTGTTGTCCAATAGAAATATAATTTGAGCCAGATCTGTAATTTTAAATTTTCTAGTAGTTATATATTTTTTATTTTTCTTTTTAATCCTCACTTGAGGATATTTTTCCATTTATTTTTCGATAGAGTAGGAGAGGGGGAGAGAGAGAGAAACATCAATGTGAGAGGGACACATCAATTGGTTGCCTCCTGCAGGACCCTGACCAGGCCCTGGGACTAACTGCAACCAAGGTACATGCCCTTGGCCAGAATCAAAGTCGAGACTCTTTTTTCTGTCAATGGGCCGACACTCTAACCGCTGAGCCAAACTGGCCAGGAATCCAATAGTTATATTTTAACAGGTCAAAGGAAATAGGTGAAAGTAATTTTTAAAAATATGTTTTCATTGATTATTTTAGAGAGAGAGGAAGGGAGAGAAACATTCATCAGCTGCCTCCTGCACACCCCCTACTGGGGATCAAGCCCACAACAAGGCATGTACCCTGACTGAGAATCCAACAGGGACCTCTCCGTCCATGGGAGGATGCTCAATACACTGAGTCAACAAGCCAGGAATGGTGAAACTCATTTTATTATTATTATTTTTTAAAATCTTTATTGTTGAATGTATTACAGATGTTCCTCATTTTTCTTCCATTGATCCACTCCTCCCCCCTCCCGCCTTTTCCCACACTATTGTCTGTGTCCAGTGGTTATGCATATAAGTTCTCTGGTTTATGTTTTCCCACCCCCCAACCCCTTTCCCTTTGAGGTTTGTCAGTCTAGCAATGAATTTGTACTTCTTAATCCCCTCACCTTTTTCACCCATTCCCCCAAACCCCCTCCCTTCTGACAACCAACAAAATGTTCTCTGTATCTATGAGAATGTTTCTGCTCTGCCTGTTCATTTTGTTTGTAGATTCCATTGTCGATAGATATGTATTCATTGCCATTTTGTTTGTTCATATATTTTATCTTTTTCTTCAAAAAGACCCTTCATCATTTCATATAATAACAGTTTTGTGGTGGTGAACTGATGAACTC